AATCCCCGTTGTTTTCATAGCGGGTGGTCCTCCTCCAGCCCCCTAATGAATCTCACTACTCCAGATTAGATTACAGGACGTTCATTTTCAAAGTACACGAGAACTCCTGCCGTACATCCACTTAGCTCCCTCACTGCCACCTTGGATCAGGTCTGTACCTGCCGGTACCACCATCACCTCCACACTCCAATTTAACCCTAATATCCTTTATTGGACCTATTGTTTTAAAGTTATCTCAAATGAGCCTGGTGGTTAGAAGTAGCCCTTTAGAGAAAGAAGTATTTCAGTATTTTGAGAGCGTGACCCGAGGACCCTGGAGCAGTTTGGAAAGAGACGTAAGGGACCATATTGGGGCTCAGTAATGCCATTTAAAATAATATAATCAATAAAATCATGTGGGCTGGGTTGCATGTTAGCTGTTTATGTTTAGTCCAAGTTCTTTAAAATTGCTTTATAATTGATGGGTTTATATTTGAACTACTGATAGTATATACTATATAGTTTTAAGAGGAAGTTTATAGTCCAAGGTGTTGTTTTTACGTTGATAATATGTCAGAAAGTAGGATATCATTGCAGCTCTGCGCTCCTCCCAGCCCAGCTCGGATAGAATTCTATTTTTTGACATCTCTGACACGCTTTTTCCGGACAGATGTGTAGGAAACGTTTTGAGTATAACCCAATCAGACACGTTGCTTGTACCACGTGCTTCTTTTCCACCGATCAGCGTTAAGCATATCAACTTCCAGCCAATCAGAAGCCGATCTGAGTCACGTGTCAGCCGGCACGAGCAGTTCCTTGTACTCAGAGTACTATGATCTCAAGTTTCGTATCACTCTATCTTTCACCTAATTCTAGCTGTCAACTTGGGGCTGGTGTTTGTTGTTTTTTTGGGATCCTCCTTCGTGATATTCTATGCTTTTGTTCACAAGGAACACGCTAGTTATTGATTGGTGTTCGTACGCCCTGTTTCTCTCGTAATTGGAGCTGTTTGTTAACGGATAATGTTTGTTAGTTTTTTGGGAAACTCCTCTAAGATATCATGATATTTAAAAGGAGCACGTTTCAAGGGTTATCAATCAGTTTTTCATTTGTGATTTGTTAGATGCCCGATTTCTGTCGAAGATGGTCCTTGGTTCTTATTCAAGGCCTCATTATTGTCACTGATTTTATCCTGCTTCATGTTGACTTGATAGCAGTACGTTTCAATTTAACTTCTTGTCCCACTATTTGTCCCACAATTTGTCCCACTACTAATCCCAATACTTGTCCAACTACTTTGTCCTACTTTGTCCCAAAGAGCAGTAGGTGACGTCGCAGTCCCCGGACTGTTGAGGGGATGTCACTTTACTAACCCTCAAGGTAATTGGTGTCACCGCCACAACCAACTCTCTTTCTGCCCTGAAAGCTTGCCTCAATTATACGCCAATTACTGTACATTTAGCTTGCCATCAGGGAGACTTCATGCCTATTAATGAGATCTATAACCATTGTAATGACCACCATTTACCCCCGCCATCCCCCGCTTACCTTCTCTCTTACACGCTGCTATTGTTTCTTTGATCGTTGTAAATTCTCTAAATTCCTTGTTCACCGCTCCACTTGCTTCCCTATTGTTAATCACTAATCAGCGATTGTTATCTCTAATTATTCCAAATAGGCTTGGTGCACCAACTGCTCGAGTACACTTGTTCGCTTGATACACTTGTATCAGTGCACTAATAGGGTCTGCTTGTTAGATGCACTTATGTGGATTGTGGAGGCTGATTATAAGACACCACCCTGGCCATTGTCCTCGGACCCTTGTTTGTAACGAGTAAGTTACCCTAGTTATCTCAAATAGCTAAACTGTTGCTTTCTCTTGCAACTTTAGTTGCGAGTAGTTGGGCTTTTAAAAAGAAAAACGCTTTTGGCCTATTCTTTGTGACTCATCAGTGACTGATGAACATTTGGCAGTTAAATTGTACTCTCAAATTCCTCATGTCTAACAATGTAAACATGTTCTACCAGTAACCATTTCCGAGATTAGCTTTTATTTCTCACATACATTAGAAGTGATGTTATTTTAGCAGCTTGCCGCCACTATCAGACCCTCTACACATAGTACATTCCATATACATAGTACATTCCATATAGTACATTCCATATACTCTGATAACCACTTCCTCGAATACATATTTAAAGAGGTCAGTGATAATCAGCATTTAGCATTGGTGATAACTCAATGAGTGTCGAACAAATATTTTTCGTGCTTTTCATAGTTATGATTGCTTGTTCAATCAGGTTAAAAACCCATTTGGGTAACAGGTACTATGTAATTGGGTTTTGCAATTAGACCTTATTATTCGACACTTCCTCTTTTAATTCTAGTTATCATAATGGGTTAAATTCCTAGATTGAATTGATTAGTTTATAATTTTGATAAAGTAGTTATCTGCTGGTATTTAAGATTGCTTTGTCCTAATCCAGGTCCCCTCAAAAACCATACAGAGTACCTAATCTTGTGTTGTTCTTGCTTACATTTCCACCAGTTTATCAGTTATAAATATCTTCGTTATCGATAATCAGAAATACTATCGTCTTTAAACCACAGTTCACTGCCACCATGTTAAACAGAGTCAGTATTTATCGTTACAACCGCTGGTGCTCCAAATCAAGCAAGCTCTTCAGCCAGTTTCCCAACAGGTCTAAACATCCCGATCCTATCTTGCTTGATATTATCACCTCTCCGTTTATTAATCGTGTGCTGTTTGGATAATATCTCTCAGATATCCTTGTTACATCACGTGATCTCATCTGTCTAAAACTGTACGAGGTCTTATTTTCTAGTCCTGTGTTTTTGTGATAAGCTATTCAGTCAATTAGTAGGACAGTTTGTTTTGAAAGGTCATTGTCTAAAGTCTGTTGTCGTTAGTTCCGCCGGATATTCGAGATGCTGTTTAATGGGATTATTTTCAGTTCACAGATGATTATAAAGTTCCACTTCAAGTTTGACACGTTGTCTGTTGTCAGGTCGCTCTGAATTGTACTAGGTTCGGTTATTGACTTCTCTCTTTATGATCTTTGTCAAGTCACAATTAGATCTTCTATTCTATGATGTCGTTAGGTTTGTAAACTTGAGCGTCTAGGACGAACAGTGGCCATGGATTGCATATTGGTTCGTTATGCAGCTGTTTTCTGCCGGGTTGTATAGATTGTTTAAGAAGCTAAGTTGCAGAATGGTTGAATGTGCAGTAAGGTTCAGGCTGGAGAATGTAGCCGTTCCTGACAGAGGTTGTGAAGCTATCACAACAGCGGGGCTACAGTATCTACGGTAGTCCAACCTGGTTGGTATTTTCTCGTGCACCCCCTCATTAATAAAATGATCCCCGGACGGCCCTACATGTTCTAGATCTCCTCTCCAGCCACCACCACAGGTCTCCAATCTAGCCAAGGGTCTGTTAATCATCCAACCAATCAAACACTAGATATCTACCACACGTGGTATTTGGTTAGCCTATCAGAAAGCAGGATTGGATCACGTGATGCTAGATCAGCCAATGAGGGTCCAGTATGACGTCACATGGTGTGAACATGAGAGATGTGACACTATGAGTGAGCACAATAACGTGCTCCACGACTGTTCATGAGTCCTCCACACATGTTAACCCAGTGCCCCGTATCTACTTGCCATGCAGTCGTTGTATCTCAAAGGGATCTCTATCTGTTAGGCGTATCCCCCATTCTTTTGAAGAGGTGAAATGACAGTTGACATGATCTAGAGCGCCTCCCCCAATCAGGATTGAAATCTGTTCCATTGTTCAAAACCACTGCTAATTCCTCACGTCTAATCAAAGGTTCTTATTATTTGCAACAATATCTGGGTGTGTATCAGGGTGTATGACAGATATGTGGTTAGCAGAGTGTATGTTTTCACCTATTATAATCCTGGAGTTCTGGACTGAACTTCACATTTCCACTTTAGTTGTCCTAGTTTTTAGCGCGTCGTGATAAGATAAGAGTTGATTGATGTTTACCTTTCTTCACTATACACTGATTCTCATAATCGTAGGTTATATTTCCCAAGTAATCCAATTATTGACGAGCAAATCTAGCCTAGCTCACGATTTGCTGCCATCGAATAGGGATTCACTCTCAGATCTCATTGACTAATCGGGAACATCACAAGGTCCTACCGTCCAATCAGAGGCGAGGACCCTGACCACGTGAAGTAAATAATAGCGTGATGATAATACCTTCAACATTTGGCAAGTTGATCTTAGTATCTCCTGGGAATCCCCCATTTCTGAACTTTGAGACCAGTCATTTTCCTGGTTGTGATGTGAGAATTGAGTGACCCTGTTTACTTATTGAGCTTAGATTTCCTGAGATACATGCTTGTTGCTATCGGTCACAGGCTCCTTTGAATTGTTCTTATTGACCCTAGGTTTTATTCAGTTACATCCTGGTCTTATGAAAAAAGCCTCATTTCTTACTTACAGAACCTATAGTTGATCCTTTAAATTTGCAGATCTATTGTTATTCTGAGTCTCTATTAACGTTCCCTCTAACATTGTTAGACATAACAAACACCATTCCGTTGTTCTGAGCCCCAAAACTCGCCTTAAAACCCAATATCGTTACACTTAGTTACTTTCCTCATATCAGTAACTTGTTCCCCTCCCTTGCATCCAGCCCTTACTTGATACTAGTATAATGCTTGCATCCAGCCCTTACTTGATACTAGTATAATGCTTGCCTCGTATCCAGCCCTTACTTGATACTAGTATAATGCTTGCATCCAGCCCTTACTTGATACTAGTATAATGCTTGCATCCAGCCCTTACTTGATACTAGTATAATGCTTGCCTCGTTTCCTCAGATACCGGATCCTCCCCTAGGGCTATGAGTCCTAACTCGCCTGTTTCTCCACCATCTGATCCTAGTTACCACCCCTATTGTCCGCCCCTGTATCCGATATCAGCCAATAGGATCACAGAACTGTAGTCACGTGACTAATCAGATAGCGAGGTTTGGTCACGTGATCACGAGATCTCGGATAGCCGGAGTTGGTGGTTTTGTGTTGAAATGAGCAGAGGGAGGGCCAGGGGAGTGTTGATCTTGTTATTGAGTGTATATATGTTAGGAGATCTCAGCGTTCATTACTATCAGTTCAACATTGCTTTATAGTATCTGTTTTTTACGACTGTATCTTTTATATAATATGAGCTTCTTGTATCAGTTTGTGCTTTGTTTTGATTAGTATACTAGTATAGTTGAGATACTAGTAAGATAATAGTATATTTCTAGAACATCATGTTGGGTTGTAAGATTGTTTATTGTTCATGACCTTCAGACAAACTGACTTGCTTAATTGTAACTCTGGTAAATTGTATTCCAAATCTAATCCCAATATCCGCCTAGCTTAAACCTATACCACAATCCTTATGACTCATTTCTCTTCCCAACCTCAGAAGCGTCGCTGTATCAGGACCAAAGGTAAATTCTAGTTTAGGACCTCGCAGTTAACCTCACAGTTAACCTCGCAGTTAACGTCACAGTTAACCTCACAGTTAACCTCACAGTTAACCTCGCAGTTAACCTCGCAGTTAACCTCGCAGTTAACCTCACAGTTAACCTCACAGTTAACCTCGCAGTTAACCTCACAGTTAACCTCGCAGTTAACCTCGCAGTTAACCTCGCAGTTAACCTCACAGTTAACCTCGCAGTTAAACTCGCAGTTAACCTCGCAGTTAACCTCACATTATAAACTTCTCACGAAAACTTGCTGTTTCATCACTTTGTTATCGGCGGCTTCGACTCCGGAAATTACATAATACAGGTCAAAAGTCAAACGGGAATCGAAGTCAACTAATAAATACATTTTATCACACTTCTATTCTAACAGAGAAACCTGTATACACTAACTGTAGCTTAGTATATTCAATACATACTCTGTTAAATGTCTACACATTTACTACTGCCCACAATAATTCTAGAACTTTCCTCAACACTCGATACAAAACCATGTATGAATTGAGAAAATAGTTATAGATTGAGGGCGAAATGCCTCATTGAACAACTGTAAATACCCCACACATATCCCTACACCCACCATTAAAATTAATGTGGAGTTCTCATTAATTCCCCTCATATAACCAACAAGTCTGCGGGGTGGAGAGTCGCTGTAATTACATCCACCAACCCTCATGCTCCCCGCACCATCAGACACCATCAGCACCACTCTAACTGCTTGTTTCAATTACCGTACGTCACGTGGCCCCCACTAATTGATCACCAACCAGCCCCCTAACAACCGACCAGCATGTTGGTTCAGTGTGTCACGTGATCTGAGTATGGCGAGCTGTGTCGATTTGGCGAGTCACGTGACACTGTTAGAGTGCGTAAATTGAGCTCAGGTGACCAGAGTGGTAGGTCGTTAGAAAGAAGGCTAGGGTACATAGGGGGGAGGGGCTCATAACCCAGCATCCTCATTTGATTTCATCAGCACTTCATTGGTTTGACACCTACTTTTATCTGCTTGAAACCGCACTTTATTGGGTTTACCCTGCTTGCAAGTTCCGTTCTATATCCGTGATCCCGAATACTGTTATCAGTTTCTACTTGAAAGTTGTCATGGTTGCTCATAAGAAAAGTAAGTATTTCGAACCAAAGTTTAGTGTCATTGAAGTAGGTTTTGAATAGTTTTGCGACATTTCCTTCCAACAAAACAACCAAAGTTAAGTCCCACCACATAATTTGTACATTACAAAACGTTTACTTTTTGTACTAGCTGGCCCACCCCCTATTGTTGTTATATAAGCCCTGTGTACGTGTGAATGTCATGCTCCCTCATGTTAAACACCCTCCCATTCTCACAATAATACTGACAGCTCACTTTAGAATTCACAGCGGGATCCTTACTTCCACACGATATCAAGCAACTCTTCCAACCCCTGAATAACATCCATACACTCGCCACATTCCCTCTCTAAAACAGCCTGTCACGTGACGTCACGACAATGTCACGTGACGTCACGACAATGTCACGTGACTTCAGGTCCACTTCGTCACAAGCAACATCTCGTCGTGCAAGCATTGCACAGTTGTTGTCTGTTGTTGAGAGGTGTGTTTGGAATCTATTGACAGTTGTCGTATGCAGACTGTTTTCTGTTCCTTGTTTTTCTGTTGTGTGTCAAACACTGGAGTTGAGAGCTGACTAAAATCTTAAAATCTCCAATTTCGTAAGAACTTTATGAATTCTCGTTACTTAGCTATTGCAGTAGATAATTCACTTTTAAGTGAGTAGGATATCCGATTAAAAATGCTAACTATAACCCAAAAGATAAGATATCACTCCCATGCCAATACCTCTGATCATTTCTCCAGTTTCACCCTCAGATAACATGCCCACCCAAATCACACAAACTCGACCCCTCTTAACATCAACACTACCCTTGCTCTCCTGAAAACTTAGAAGTTTTTAGTGCTCCAGTCCTTTTCCCATGCGAGTCTAGACGTGAATATCGGGTGTATGTGTACAGTAACTAGTGTAATGTTGTCCAGTGATCATCACGTGACACTGCGTCGTCCAATCAGGATGCTTGGTTTAGTCTCGTGGGTTGGTATCTTCCAATCAGGACGCTCCCTAAAAAGTAGTGCATTTTTTCCAGGCTTGCGGAAGGAGTGTTAGTTTAGTAGATAGTATCTTGTAGCTGTATCCTGCTGTCTGTTCCTCTGACAAGAGCTCCTCTAAAAACTAACAGAAGTAGCCGCCGCAATGTTTACACTCTGTCTATGTTTATTTGCACTAGATACACTGCTGCTACTTCTGCTCTTTTTCAAAACTCCCGCCGATCTGCTTACCCCGTCATTGGACTAAAATAAAGCAGTTTTATTGGCTGCACCATTCTGGGGCCGTGCTGTGAATGGCTGATACTTGTCACATGTATATCACTCTGTTTCCTCATTGGTAGATTATCGTGTCACGTGACTGGGAATGTGCACCGCTCTCCAGGAAATGATATTTGTACTGGAGCGAGCACTTGTGTTCACTTTGTTGTTTAGTACTCCCTGTTTCGAGCCTGACTCAGATACTGTTTATCGTTGGTGTAACGCAACTGTAACGATCTTGTAACGCACTTTGTAACACGTATCTGTTGTGATACAGCTATAATGAAGCGAGCAAAGTCAGTGTACTTCACAGCAGATTCCGGAGGCTGCTTTCCCTGGAGACGAAGTAATGTGACGTCACAATGTCACGTGACGTCACAATGTCACGTGACGTCACAATGTCACGTGACGTCACAATGTCACGTGACGTCACAATGTCACGTGACGTCACAATGTCACGTGACGTCACGACAATGGAGACGAAGTAATGACATTTTCAGTTCCTCATTTCGTAGAATCACGTCAGTCTGCAGTATTAAACACCAGTCTGTTCATATCACGTGACTGAATAATGGTCACGTGGGGTCTTTGTAGACACAACATCCATTGTATCACATATCACAGTAAATTGAATTTACGGATAGAATTATAATGTAGTTCCACACACACACACAAGTGACTCTATAACATTGTTTACAGAAGTTCCCTCTCTTTTTTGAATTTCTGAACATTAGCCCCAGAGCGACACACCATCTCGTGTGATGTAAACACAACGCGTGCTATTTTCTGAGCAGTGAAACTTACTACCAAAGTCATGAGGAATAGTTTAAAATATTGAAAACTTCATCAAGCTGAATTCTTTCACTGTCAAGAAAAACCGCAAAATGAAAATCAAACCTTTTTGAATGATGAAAAATTATAAAAACAATCAAAGTGTGACTGTCATGTATTAAAAACGAAACAATTTTCCCAACAAATATTTGTGTAAATTTTTATCTAACCGAATATTTGTTTCAGATAACATGCCCCTTGTGTACACGCAGAATAACGATGAGAATTATCCGCCGATAACCTCAATGCTGCGTAAGACGAAGCGTGATGAGCCTCGTTTGGCTGGAACCGCTAGCAAGAGACCCGCTCTGGCTTCAATCAACAATATTCAGAGTATTGGAACTGCTAACAGCGATCTTGGAAAGGTAAATTTCATAGAATGATCTACTTGTAGAATATTAATCATCTGATCTAAGTTATTACATGATTTTCACTTTTTGAAATATTTACCCCCATTAAAAATAATTCTAATTCCATTAATAACACTGGGTATCCTCAGCAAATCAAACAGCGCCAGACGAACCCATTCAGCGTTCGAGTGGACACCAAGAAACCCTCTCCAAAACAGAAACAGATCGCCTCCCGCGCTCAGCGCACGTCCTGCACCAACAACTCCCGTCTCTCCTCAGTCGCTAACGTCATGAGACAATCCACTCTCTCCTCCTTCAGTACTAACACCACCACTTCCTCCACCTTCTCAGTCTTCAAAGACAGGTCCTCCGTATCATCATCCGCTCCCGCTTTAAGTGCACTGAGAGACAGAACAAACATCCCTACCACCACCACACCCGCCTCCAGTAAACCCTCAGAATGTCCCATGTCTGTGGAAGCTTCTCGCACTCCCAGAAGTACTCGAAGTCGTCATGCTTCTTGTGCTTCTCTGCGGAACATGGATATCGACGAGTCCTCAAACTTTTCTGATATGAGCATTGATCTGAAGGAAGAAGCTCCCCTGATCAAGAACATTGATGAAGGTGCTAGTCTGGAAGAAAGTCCAGAGTATGTTGAAGATATTGATAACCACCTGAGGAAAATGGAGGTAAGAATCTCCAAGAACATTGCCGATTTTCTTGTCTTAATTCATATTCGTGCAACGGTTCTAACTAAAGTCTTAGAATTAGTTATCATAATTCTTCTGTTTCATCTCTAACGTATTCTTATCTGCAGGAATTATACAAACCTAAACCAGGCTACATGTCAAGACAACGGTACATCACCATCGCCAACCGTTCCACCGTCATAGACTGGATGTTTGAGGTACTGAACAAGTTTCACATGAAAGTTCGCAAGTTCGACAGATCGTCAACTCGATCAGTACGTTCATATGTGTCGATTGTCGAACCGTTTAAATTATTCAGCATGATATCCGTTTTTATCTCATTTTATAGTACGTACAACAACATTCCCGCCATATTAGAAAGTTTTAATCGATGCTTATCTCAGTTATATAATGTTTACTTAAACACCGTTATCTCTCAACTAACCATCAAATCACCTCAGGTTTGCGACGAATTCCATCTGTCCCAGAAAACATTCCAATTAGCCGTGTCCTACGTTGACCGATTCCTCTCCAAAATGAACATGCCCAGAAAGAACCTCCAACTTCTGGGAACCACTGCATTGTTCATTGCTTGCAAGGTGGAAGAGATCTATGTTCCTGTTGGGAGCGCTCTTGCTGCCAGATTTGTCTGGATTACTGATAACACGTACACAGTTCATCAGGTATGTGTTCTTCAATCTTCATTAGATTACAAGCAATAGCAATTTATAACTTTTCTAATGAGATTTTTGTAGTTGTCTTGGCAAATCTGCATCCACCGATCAGCATTTAAATATATTAACATTGTCATGTGATATTATCATATCAGATATCAAAATACTTTGTCAGATTAGTCTAACATACCTATTCTTTTCAGCTATTCAAGATGGAAGTAATGATCCTCAACAAGCTTGACTACGAGATCAACTCTCCTACAACCCTTGATTTCCAAGATAGGTTCATCAAAGCTTCCGGTGGTGACTGCACCGAGCAGTACTTGACGGAGTACCTCTGTAATCGCTCCCTGATACACGGAGATAAATTCCTCAAGTACACTCCCTCCCTCCTCACAGCAGCAGCTATCGGCCTGTCACGTGCCACCCAGAAACCTACTGAGCCCGTTTGGGTATGTCTCACTTTCTCTTAATATTATCGGCCTGTCACGTGCCACCCAGAAACCTACTGAGCCCGTTTGGGTATGTCTCACTTTCTCTTAATATCGGCCTGTCACGTGCCACCCAGAAACCTACTGAGCCCGTTTGGGTATGTCTCACTTTCTCTTAATATCGGCCTGTCACGTGCCACCCAGAAACCTACTGAGCCCGTTTGGGTATGTCTCACTTTCTCTTAATATCGGCCTGTCACGTGCCACCCAGAAACCTACTGAGCCCGTTTGGGTATGTCTCACTTTCTCTTAATATCGGCCTGTCACGTGCCACCCAGAAACCTACTGAGCCCGTTTGGGTATGTCTCACTTTCTCTTAATATTAGCTGCTATCGGCCTGTCACGTGCCACCCAGAAACCTACTGAGCCCGTTTGGGTATGTCTCACTTTCTCTTAATATCGGCCTGTCACGTGCCACCCAGAAACCTACTGAGCCCGTTTGGGTATGTCTCACTTTCTCTTAATATCGGCCTGTCACGTGCCACCCAGAAACCTAATGAGCCCGTTTGGGTATGTCTCACTTTCTCTTAATATTAAAAAACAATGAGACGCGCCAGTAATCTGCAAATATTTACCTGCACATAGTTCACTATCGGTGTGGGAGTTATTACGTAGGAGCCGTATTATTCCATATAAGGAAAGTGTGCTACACTGAGAGCCTCAATGTACAGTGTGTAGTGTAATTAGCACTACTACTCACTACCAAACAACACTATCCGACACCTCAAGAATTTAGCGCTTTGTTGGGAGTACATTCAATAAATTCCTAAACAATTCCTAAACAATTTATTCTAACCGCCACATTTCTTCAGACTCCAACGCTAGCTCACTACACGAAGTATACGTATCCCGAGATTAAGGAATGTATGTCCGATCTCCTGCAACTCCAAAAGTTGGATGTTACCCCTGATTCCCGTCGTTATGCTGCTGTCTGGAATAAATACAATCTCGCAAGGTATGTTCACAATCTAAGTTATTTAAGCAATTCAAACATCTATTTTTTTGTATCGCTCTGTATAGGAGTGGGTCGACCACTAGGGCTTACAACTTATTCAATTGCTGTCTGGTGGTTACTTCAGCTTGCTAACAAGGTTTCTTGGAACGTGGAATTTTAAACATTTCTAGCCGACTTATCCTCTGAATGTACTCTGGAAGGAGTCTAGTTTTTAGGGATTCTTGATCTCCATCTCCATAATATCTTGAATTTTGCATATGTTTTGCACTTTTATAAAGAGTCAAGGACGAATGTTGCCCGACAGAAGTCATTTTTAAACCGCAGTCCTCGCCCGGTCGCCCAGCCTTGGCTAGAATCCTCAAAACTTGAATGATCGGTCAAAATTCAAATTTGGTATACATAGAAAATAGTCTTGTACCAAAGTAATTTAATCCGATCGTTTTAAATAAATCTAACCGAATACATTTTTCAGATATATGTTTGTGTTACAGAAGCAACCTATCGAGTCCATACCCACACACCAGTGAAGTCCAGAATGGAACCTAATCAAACAAGTCCCCCCTTTGTTCCAGCTCCGGCTCACCGCCACCCCACATTTGGCTGCCAATTAGCTAATTATTTAATTACCAGTTAATTGTTCAGTCAGATGGAATAAGATTCTAACAGAATCACCGATCCCAGGATCGAATCTTTATAAACTCTTGTGTAATTTTTCAGTCAAATGAACACTCAGCCTAATAGTTTTGTTTGTGAATTGCAGTGCTTAAGTTGAACGAATTAAATTATTTCGGTGTATTAACTTACATCAGCAATGAATAATTAATTTCTCGAAGTTTATTTTTGTAGTGTTTTTTCGGGTACACCGGTCGAGGCGGCTGCCCTTCAAATATGTTCACAGACCAAGTTATTTATTACAACCTTGCAGTAATTCAGTTGTTTGCGTGTTAACATTTCGTCGTTATTTTCACAGAATATTTGATTTGATTTTTCTTCGACTTCCTGGTACATGACCAGGATTTATATGACAACTGACAAAACGGACGTGCATCGTTGATAAATAGGACCTAGTTCAAATTAGCTTTAAAATTAGTCTTGTACGATGATATTTTCTAGGATCATGACAAAACCTTTCTGTACATATTTCATAAGATCTGTAAAATTTCGGAACCAAAGTGAAGGTCCAAAAAGCATGAATTCGTAACTCCAAACATTTCATCCTAGAGCTATTATAGTAACCTTTTTGGACCCCATTTGATAGTCTTTTCTATTTAACCTTTTGAGTTTTTAACGGTTATACTACCCATTATATTAGTAGAATAGTGTTCGCGTATGTTGTATTTGTATATAATGATAATTTTACAGCCCTTAAAGGTTAGCTTGGGCAAGTTGAAGTTTGAATGTGTGACGACTATTGTGGCGATCGTTGCTAATTAGTTGATTATTTAACTAATCGGGTAATTACTATTGCTGTCGTATTTCAACAGTTTCTAACCCCCTTATAATGGTGTCTCTTACTTATATTGTTTAGGGAGTTTTGTTTAAGCTTTAAAAACGGTAGTTAGAATTTAAAGTTGTACATGTCTGATGGAGAAATGTACAGCTGGTTACAATTTAGTGTATAAGGTACATGTTTGTAGAGCGGGAAATTAGTTGAGAGAATCCTTTTAGATGCGACCAGAATCAATAATTATACAAAATCAGAATTTGACCAGAATAAGACTAATTTACCAACAATTATTCCAAGGCTGAACCAGCTATTATTCGTCATCTGACAACAAACACATTAAGTTTCATAACACATACTGTCTTTGCAAAGAATCACAAATTTTGCGAGATATCCCGAACACCTGGCCGTATTACATATTACAGATCAATTAGTTAATTGATAAGTCGTATCGCATCGGATATGTCAACTTATTGACCACTCTGGGAACTTTACATAGACCTATTTATTTTTCACCCCTGAATTGGGGCGAGTCCTCCGGTCTTGTTCACACATGATTCAGATCTTGACACCTTACAGATGTTCACTAATTTACAGTGATTACTACCAGCAGTAGGCTAACTTACAGCCCATCTAATAATTTCATCATGTTTGAACAAGACCTGCAGAATTATCGCACCCGTTTAATTTCACCCACATAACTTTAACACAGGGAAAAGGGATCCCAATTTCAAACATAAGAAGATATTTTCAATCTGGCTAAATTAAATAACCATGGTACGTTTTGAGAATTTGATGTAATCTTGCGCAGGGGTCATCTAATCTACATTCTCGGTTCCATGGAAACCCGATGTTGAGCATCGGTATTTATACTAGTCTCGGGGAGGCAGTATCGGTATTCAAACACAAGGAAACATTATTTAATGTTAAACGTTTGTTTATCTTTGTGTTAGGTGTATCGGTATGCTAATCTGCTAGGACCGGTTGTATTTGTTAACCAACTTAAAACCTGAATATTTCCCAATATATTTGAACTTTTGACACAATTAAGAATTGTTTGGATGTTTGTTTCAAACTTCACAGTGCTTTTGAAATTCTCATGATAATAATAATAATGCTCAATTTGTAGTAAAATCATTTAAAAATATGCGTGTTTTATTTCCCCTCGTAAGTAAACAAATTATAGGTTATTATCTATAGATAAGATTCTGTATAGATACTATGGAATTAAACAGAAATCAAACATTGATAAAAATTTAAGTAATCTCAGAAACGGGTATCACATTCAGCTGAATTCCTCTGTACATGACTAGACCTGATGTATCCCACTTTACAACATGAGCACACCTGTTTAAGTACTGATTTCCCCAATACTCATTAGAAACATGTGTGTTTCACGCCAAATCTTAGCTTCATAACAGCTGTTTTTCCTTATCATGCTAAAACTTGAAACCATTTTATCTGCTACCTGCTTGAATTTCTAATTAGAAATACACTCTGTAATCTCCATCATGCTATAATTCTCACGTGAAACCACAGTGAACTTCAAAATATACCATGAATTTATGTATAAACCTTGCGAAGTAACTGATGACTTATTCATTTTCTAATCATCATATTTTTCGGTAGCATGAAAAAGGAGCGTGTTTCTAAAGCAGACAAAAAGCCTGCACGTAAGCATCTGATGAAATTAAACATTTAAAAATACTTCATCACGTGCCTGATATTGATAAAAAATCCAGAGAAATACTCAGATATTTTCCAAAGTAGACTGAATTGTACATAGTAATTAAAATTTGAATTACGTAACTCTTGTTCATTTTAGCATTTCTGGTATGTAGAATCCAGTATGTATGGTATCCAGTTTCCAACGGTATTCTAGCCTCTGGCCACCACGTGCCGCCCGAATCCAAAAATTAATCTTATTCAAATTCTTCAATATCCAATAATTCGATCTGATCCAGTTTTGTTACAGATATTCGTATAATGACTTAACTAATCTAATCCATTTCAATAACCCTTGTGAACTTCAATTGTACCAAATGAAATCTCCACCTATTTAATTTTCAGCAAATCTCTGCAAACTGCGCTGTTATAATCGTATCTTCACAGACATAATAAGATCAAACAGGTAGCCTCAATTACCCCTTATATGGTCATTAATTAGTCTTTATATGGGGTTATATACCCAGCTCTCCCAAATAAGGTATGATCGCTCGAATTAACACGATCTGTTGTTGCTGAGAAAGGCGGCATATTTGAATCTGAGAAGCTGTTCTATTTATAGAAGCATACCAGCTTAGATATTGGAATGAGAGTTTCACGGGAGGGATTCAAGTGTTTCAACCAATGGGATGCCAGTATTTGGGGGCTGGTATAAGGGTGGGAACCAGTTAGAACATTTGTTTTACACATGGTTTTCCCACATATCCATATCAGGAGCCGTGGTCATATTTGTGGAATGTTGGTACCAGGTGGGTACCAGGTGGAGATTGTTTAGTGAGCGTCTAGATGATCAGTAGTAAGAACTAAGACAGCAAGTTTTATGACGTTAATACGATTAAAACGTCTTGTGAACCAGATGCTCAAAGCTGTAAATAAGTCGCAGAGCGTGAGCAAGGAGTAGGTATCAGAGTTTACATTACAGAAAGTAGTCTATACTTTATAGTAGTCTATACTTTATAGTGCTATATTTATCTTGAAGTACCAGCCGGGATTCAGCAGTGTTTTTAAAATGCGCCCAAAAGTCGCTGGTAACTTGTATGTTTTCTTAATACTGTAAGTTTATACTGCACTGGTAACTGTAATTTTACCTGACCATAACATTCAACTGTCCATTCTACATAAGCACATTCTATATATATTGTTTTAAATGTTCCTGTTAGCACATCTACATAGAAAATGACTTAATAAAAACACTATGTCTGTCAATAACATTATTTTGTTGGCGAGCTGCTGTAGTCCTCACATTATTTGTAAACCATCATAATACTATTACTATGAAAGAAAAGTAATCATGTTTACCAAGTTATAATAATTTGTTTAATTCTGGTAAATTTTAAAATTGAATCTGGCATGTCAGTTACAGTCACATGGCCAGAAAGTTTTGGAGAAGTAGTGTTACCGTACAATATTGCTATAGTTACCGTACAATATTGCTATAGTTACCGTACAATATTGCTATAGTTACCGTACAATATTGCTATAGTTACCGTACAATATTGCTATAGTTACCGTACAATATTGCTATAGTGAATTGACAGAGTATTTTCATCATTGTGCCAAGTCTTGCAAAATATCCCCAAAAAAGTTATTGCTATAGTTACCGTACAATATTGCTATAGTTACCGTACAATATTGCTATAGTTACCGTACAATATTGCTATAGTTACCGTACAATATTGCTATAGTGAATTGACAGAGTATTTTCATCATTGTGCCAAGTCTTGCAAAATATCCCCAAAAAAGTTAGAAGTGAAAACCCATGCGGTGTCTTCATAACTCCGTGGTTTCCCCTCTGACGTGCAAAATAAGTATCTTAATTGTTCTTTTACCACACAAAGTTAAAACTTTGATTTCTGAACAATTTTATGACAGCTGTATCACGATGTTAGTCACATATAACACGATACTTGTCGTCATAAAAATTTGAATTATTCGAATTCAAAACCCTGGACAAATTCCCTCCACTTAGCAGTAGAGTCCTGGGACGAATTTAATCGAATTGTATTAAAGACTACAATGACTGTTCCCTTACTGTGAGTTCATTATTTCCCCCCTCAGGGTCGTTCCTGCTGAGCTTGTTCTCCAAGCTAACAAACTTACATACTACATAGTTATATAACGTATTAATGACATGATGGGTGCTTTATTTAGAATTAGTGGTACAATTATAGTGGTCTAACTCCAGTTAGCGTAGACCACTATAATTGTATTGTTTGTCAGCTTGGGAACAAGCTCTGCAGGAACGGCCCCCTAGGGGGAAGTAATGAACTCACAGTAAGGGAACAATCCTTGCAACAATAATCACAATTCAATTAAATTCGTCCCAGGAGTCCGTTGCTAAGTGGAGGGAATTTGTCCAGGGTGAAATTCGAGAAATTCAAAAAAATTTGTGACGACATGATATGAAAAATGATTTTGATAAGTTTATTAGATCAACCATCATGCTATGTGCGACCAAAATCTTTATCTACCTGTCACAACATGATTTCATGACTCAGAAATCAGAGTTTTAGCTTCAATCTACTGTGTTGCACTGTGATAGTAATTAGTATGTGCTGTAATGCACTGTGTTGCACTGTTATATGTGCTGGTTGATGTATGTCTGAACTGGAATGGTGTACTGATACAAACTGTGGTATTATATCCACCACTGATACACTGATACGACCTGTTATTCCTTTTAACAGAGTCTTATAATAAGCACATTAGAGGTTGCTAGGACGTTGCTAGGCAACAAGGATGCTACTTTTAGCTGTCTAATGAAATGAGTCCTGGTAATCGACCAGGGTCCAGGGGGCAGTACAGAGAATCCTATCACTAAGTACGTCACCACTAGTATAATATTCTGGTAGCATCATCGTCTAGTTTTAATGGTTTTCATTGAGGTGGTCTGTTTGTAATTATATATTAGGAGATGCTAATATAGGGAATAATCAGGGTAATAGAGGACATCAAGTATTGACATGTATTATTGAAAAGCACGAGCGAGTACTTAAAATTTGCATGTCATTACAATAACAAATGTAGCGTCTAGTCGTCTAGTACTTACTTACATTCTCATTCAAATGAAGATAAAACTTGGACACTGTACCTCACTTAATAGAACATTTCGTTATTATCAATATAGCCGATTGTTAATATAATGGTGGAGCTTTGTCCGCCGCTAGCAATAGTTTCTGGAGCTTTGTCCGCCGCTAGCAATAGTTTCTGGAGCTTTGTCCGCCGCTAGCAATAGTTTCTGGAGCTTTGTCCGCCGCTAGCAATAGTTTCCAGTAACTGGTAATGCACCCCTGGGGGAGGAAGAATGTTCCATTATAAAACCTCTGTCTAACAGACTGATCTGCAAATTATTCTAATTATATATCTCAATAATTCAAACTGCAGCCTTGTTACAGGGATCTCAAGTGATTGCGAAACGCACGTGCTGTTTAATTGCTTGCACGTGCAGTTAGTTCAGGCTTTCTGTTTGTTGAAATGTGTCACGTGGTGTGGAGTATGTGTTGTGATTGGTTGAGATTTGCTGTTTTACCGTTTGGAACGCTGATGGGGACATGTAAGCAGCTGGTGGCTGGTCGTGTGACCAGTGATGTGATTGAGTAGCCTCCCCACAATAGGCTAAACACTTGTCCGGAGCTTGAAGTGGTAAATGGGTTTACTGAGGTTCTGTATAGGTTTAATTGGGTTTTGTGTCACATTGGGATCTGTGACCCACATTGGGATTTACGTCTCCCTGAGTTTTGTGTCTCATTTCTATGGACACATAGAGATGTAATGATTATTGTATTCTCCAGAAACGTTTATGCCCAAATTCTTTGAAAAAATAAATGGGCAAACGACTCAAGACGATGAATTTGAGGGCAAATATAAATTCTAGTCCTAAGGTTTGGTTTCCCGCCATTTTACCGTCACATTTTCTAAACGTGAACAATTTTGTGAACTCAAAATATATGTATTGAAGGAGCATGATAATTCAGGAATGTTTCGAGGTGATGTTGGTTGCCAGCTTAGCAACGTTCCGTTCCGTTGCTACATAACATCAACTCTCTGCATCGTGCATCAGAATTGTACATTAGAGAATTGTTTGAAACGGATTCCAGAGATTGGACTTAAGTTAATTTGAACATGTAGTGTAGTATACCTAGATCAGCCGTAATATGATTAAATGCTCATCTTAAATCCTACCCATTTTAAGGTGATATCGGCTGCATATTTTCTAAGGCCACCTCAATTGTCTACAACCGTGTATTGAAATGTCATGCCTCAATTATCGAGGGTTCGCGCCCTCTTTATCACCTTATCTGGTAACCTTTCAACGATTAATTTGTACGTGCAACTTCAACAGGGACAAATCACCGTGCATTATAAGTGCTGAAAAGAGGAGGGAAGATGATAATTTA